CGACAAAATGACGAGACCCGCAGTTATTGGACACAGCAATACAGATCAGTTAAAAATCAGGTAGCCTTAGCCAACGCGGACACGGCTCGACAAGTGTCACTTACAGTCATGTAAGCGATGTTATCGCGTGCAGTTACTGAATTAAAATTAATGTAATTTCTATCGAATGACAATATGGGGTTGCAAAATCAGCTTGCGATGCTCTTATAATCACTCAAAACAGCGAGCTGATTAAATCCCGTATTTAATCATAATATATTAACTTTTCCGTGTGGCAGGGGTACTAAAGTTACTATTTACAGTCAACTAATTTACTTCTCCCTATGGGCTTGAGCTGCCTAGGAACGAAAAATAACCTATATTGTATACAATAATACTATTACCTTAATACAGTTAAGATTCTAGTATAAACGCGGTAAGGGCAACAAAATAACCTTAGTATAAATAAACACATAAGCACAAACAACGCACTTTCAATAATCACACAAAACTTATTTACCTTCCAGTAAAAACGAGAATATTACCATGCATATTTACAAATGTTGACGCAATAGCAAACGGATAACGACAAAAAACAAAATTTCATTCTATCACGAGAATTTAAAAAAAAAAAATTGACTGCAGCACTTTACTTGCATCTTACATGACCAAGAAAGCCTGTAAATAAGTTGTTTCTCACCTGTCGATCGTATTCAAACGTCCCACAAGATCCATCACGAAAACATTTGAACACAAACTTTAAGAAGTCTCTCTCTGTTGAGAGAGAAATCATCGGCCAGTGTCATCGTTGACTAGTTGCCACACACGTCACTCAAACCGTAGCAGGACTTGTTTCGCGAATCCACAAAAATGCCGTAGTATCAAGCGAACACAAAGATAACTACCCGAGACTGCGGTGATGAAAAAAAAAAACTAGGGGTAGGAGGACCAAAAGAACCACACATACACGAGAGCAGAAGCAGCAGTGTGGGACGAGAGGCTTCACATTGTCGACCCATCTCTTGCTCTAATGCGCTCCCTGTGGCGATGACTGGATTTTTTTTCGGTTCCTTTCCCTTCTGAAATATCTCAACGTTCCTTTACAGACAGTCAGCAGCTCGGAAATTCGGAGCCGGTTCATTCGAAAAGTGTGGGGAGCTGCGGGACTGTGCGTATTCCCGCGGTTACGGGGATAATCACAAATGTAAATTTGGTACTTTCAACCTTGGTATTGCGTTGTATATTATGTTTATACTATATATATAATAAATTGTACAAGACTGTGCTTTTAAAACATGTATATTAATGTCGGATAAACGCGCTCGAACATTACCCGCGCCGCTCGAGAAGAAACATTTTTTTCATGTCGATACGCGTCGATAGCCGAAATTTTCTCACGTAGTTGCACCGTGGCCTTCCTTCCTCCGACATTGTGACGTAACCACTCGGAGCGCTACGTCCCTATTTCTAGGAGGTGTTGCGCGAGCCTGCGAGCGGGCAGCGGCGGGAAAAAACTGAGAGGAGGACGTGCGCCGCGGCCAATTCAACTGTTCAAAAAACGCTCCTAGGCCGCCGCCATGTTGCTGATGCTGATGCGACTCTCGCGCCCTCTATCAGCTAGAAATATTCTGGCACTCTCTTAAACTGTGACAGCGCGGTTCTCTACCTACGTTTTTGCGGTTTTGCATTCTATGTTTTCTCGCCTCTCTTGAAAGTTTCCACTTAATTTGTTTGTGCACCCTTTCTGTGTTATCTTTCATTCTGAGAAATAAGGTTGGTAAGTGCCTGCCATTCAAGCTTTTCGGCTTGACATTCACGGGGAACGAAGGAGGTGAAGGACGTCGAACGGCCCTCGTCGCAATTTTGCAAACATTGTTCCCCTCCCTCCCAGAGATAATTCGTGTAGAATCCTCAGCCATCTCCAAAAATAGTTGTCCGGGTTGGGGTGAAAAAAGGGTCAGTCGCGTTCGTTCCTTTGCCTTGGTGCTGTTGTGAAAAAAGGAAGCTCTTCCCAAAATGTGCCCCAAAACGAAGTCATTTTGGATTCCGTCCTATAGTCAAGATGTGACTGTCATCGACTGTGACTGTGCTATTTGAGATCTTTCTCAAATAAATTCTTTTCCCATAACGCTGCATCGTGTGGTACGTACAACAGGCACGTACCCAAGGGGGGGGGGGGGGGGGGGGGGGGGGCCATGTGGCCCCCCTTCCCCCCCCCCCCCCCCCCCCCCCCCCCCCCCAAAATCTTCCATTTTGCTGGGACCCTCCTCTCGCCCGTCCCCCCTCATACAGCATTTTGCCATAAGCCCCCCCCCCCCCCCCCCCCCCCCCCCCCGAAACAAAATCCTGGCTACATGCCTGACGTACAGTATATTGTTCGAATGTTAACATTTGCTAAATGGCATGTCCGTTTCCTGTCCATCGGTAAACGCATTATTTGCGAGCGTGAAAAATGCATGCCTTTCGACTCTCTTCTGTTGTAATTTATTTTTGAAAGATAAGCGCTTTGTCATTTTACATGCAGCGAATTGCGCGGTGCCGTCAAAACTTAGTGTAAAATAAAAAACACAAATAACTAGAACTATACATTCCAGCCGCATTCGTTCCGTCGCGCGTGTACCCAACAAAAATAGTTTATAGGTCTTTTATTGCTTTTTGTTTTTTTACAAATGTGGTACAATGTTTTCTCAGTGACCTCTGCAAAATACATGCACCATGAAACACAAAATACAGCGGGAAAAGACGAGAATTTAGCCGCCAGCAGTGTTTGAAACTGTGCCTACGCAGGCTGCGCCTATCGAAGTCCCAGTCCACTAGGTTAGGGTTAGTAGGCACGCCCGTGAGAATCTAGCCTCAAACCCAGTGACTGGGCTCGAAAACGGTTTGCTGCCCCTGGGGTCGAGTGTTTCTTGGAAAGGTGTTGACGTGCTTCGGGAGCGCGCGCTTTGTCCAATCACGGCTGTGCAGTTGCAACATGGCAAAACGCCAACCGTGCAGAAACCACGAGGCTGACGCCATTTTGAAAATCGGGAGAAGAGTAATGTTTCTCGTCTATCGTGGAGGTGCTGCGCTGGCTGGAGGGTGGCTTCTTTCCGGTGGCTTCAGTGATGCTCACGACTCAGTGGTTGAGTAAATAAATATATATTTACAGATTATGAACAACTTTTTACAAAACAAGAAAACGTTACGCTGCTGATGCCACTCGCGGCAGTCCAACGCCAACAATAGCGCCTCGGCGCCAAGTCCCTTGCCGCGCATGGCAAGGTCTCTGTCTCGCGAGACAGAATACGCGGAGACCGCGGGAGAATAACGTCTTACTCCGCGCACGGGCTCGTTCAGACTCAACTTTTCCAACAAGGCGCGCCGACATCTCGAAGGGACTCTCTCCCCGGAGTCGGCGACATGGCCCTGACAAGGTCGCTTCCCTAATTACCACGGCGGCAAGGGCGTCCACCCGCTCCCGCCTTGAGAACGAAGGTTTCTAACATGAAGGCACTCTAAAGGTTTCGTTTACTTTCCACGCGGGGAGATCTGCTTCCACTTTCGGGAGCTGGCCGCCGCTTGTCGCCAAAGGGAAAACGTGAGACATCGGGCGCCTCCGAAGGACGCTTCGGGTGACCGCGCCGCCAATTCCCCGAGCTCTTTCGGCTAAGCCCCTTCGGCCATCCCTACATGAAGGAAGAGAAAGAACTCACGTTCAAAACAAGACAAAAATGTCGGCCGTCGGCCGAATAGAATGAGCGCCGATCGCGCAAACTTTCGGTTGATTTTGGCGCTTGACTGCGACTTGAAAGCTACCCAGGCCCCCAAAAATATTTTATTTTTAATATTTTCCCGGTGATTTTAGTGGTGAGAATTACAGAATTACAGTTAAGGAGATATACAACCCAAAAATATGGTCTTCGAAAAAGCTACTTTTTTTGCGATTTTTCAGTTTTCAAGGCCCGCGTCCCCCATTAAAGCAGGAAATTCTTTCTTACTGCCGGAACCTTTAACGTCAAAAAAAAGTATTTCGAAAAGGAATTTAGATATCTGCAGCTGCCTTAGAAATGACCAGCCGCCAGATTGATTTAGCCTCGTCAAGGCCAGGCTTTCACATCACAAGATGCCTCGCTCTCGCCCGCAGTGCTGGGAAAATCTGGGTCTAAGCTCGGCGGGCTCCACAGATTTGTTTTAAAAAAGTTGTGAAAGCCCCACTAATGTGGCCCGTGCAGGTGAGTTATACGGCCAGGGGGACATAATAAAGGGGGCTAATCATTACGGTAAGTTGGCTAATTAACTGAAGTATGTTAATTGATGTTTAAATTGGTGGAAATAAACAGATGGCTCCAAGAAGAAACTTGCTGAGCGTCTCTGAAAGCCCTAAGTTGGTCGAATTTAGAAAGACTAGGAGCGTGTTGGAAGCGCAGCAGACCGCTGGAGTTGCCACTTGTGCAGCAGATGCGAGGCTACCGGCGAGATAAGGCGCCCGAGCGGTTTTGGAGTGCACCTCCTAGTTGCCCGTTTCCGGGCTGAGCGTCGTCGCTGTCAGCGTAATGGGAAGTCTGCAGGGAAACTTTTGTTTAGAGCAGTAAACGAAACTCAAAACTACTTTCAATTTATCCGGTTCAAAAGCAGTCTAACTGTATATAAGGTAGCAGTAGCACAAGAATGCCAAACCGCAACATGTCTTTCAATTTAAAACGCGGGAAAGTTGGGGAGGGGGGGTGCTTGGGGAGGGAGTTGTGAGCCACACTTTAACATGCGGAAAGCCGCATGCGGCTCGCGAGCCGCAGCTTGGCCACCCCTGGTCTATGCTCTGCATCGGCTTTCTCGTGCATCGTCGTCAAGGCTAGCCTAAGTTCCCCCATGCTGCAATTCACATGTGCTCGCAGAAGTAGCATTGACAGTGCAGTGCAAACTACTCTCCTTGACGAAGTAAAAAAAAAAAAAAAAAGTTGATGCCAGGCATGCAATAACGTTCTTTGTGTTTTTTTTTTGTTTGTCCATTCATTTGTCGGTTTTCTTTGCTCGCTTTGCAGGATTGTTTCTTTCTTTCACGGCGACAGTTCCGAAGCTGGGAGGAGAATCGCGAGGGAAAAGTTTGGAAGTGAACGACGCGTCAAGACGCCAAGCCCGGTGGGAACGTTGGACCGCGGGAGTGTCGATGGATGTCGCAAGCACGGACTACGTTTTGGACAGTGTCTGACTGTGGTGCATTCAGACTCCCGAACGGACAAGCGTCCATCTTGGAACTGTGTTTGTGCGCCTGTGTGGATCTATGTGCGTGTGCGTGTGTGTCTTAGGAGATTACTGTAAGTAGTGTATATAGAGTCCTCGAAATTGACGAATCCTCAAGTCGTGTGCTTCGATTGGCGAACTAGGAGCTCACGAAATCGTAGCTTGCACTTCTTTAGTCCCCCCCCTTTTTTTTTTTTTTTTTTTTTAAGCAATTTTTATGTTTGTTTTTTATCCAAGATTTCTTTTTTTTTTTTTTTTTTTGTACTGCAAGTGAGCAGGTGTTTTGTACGAAGCGAACAGTGCCGCATTGTTTTCCCGTCTGCATTTCGAGTCCCAACGTCGCGATGTGGGAAGTTCGAGCACTTGAGCAGGCTAAAATTTTTTTTTTTTCAACCATCGAGTCGCATGCGCACAACGTGTAAACGAAAGGTTGTACAAGTGTATTCTCAATTTATCAGCGGCGGTATATGCGAAAGGGTTTATAGAACTGCGTGTAAGATTAGAGTACAACTCGACGGCCGATTTCTACGAACCCAACATCGTCGTAAAATCGACCGCTCGGACCGTCGTTAAACCTACGGCTCAAGCCATCTTCGAATTGACGGCTCAAGCTGTCAATAAATCGACGGATCGAGACGCGAGCGGTGCAATAACACGGACATTGCGTCGATAAATTGACGGTTCGAGCAAATAAGGAGTAAGAAACAGTTTTTAGGGCGCCGGCACGCGGGTGCCCAGACGTCACGCAGCAGCTTCGCTGCATCAGCGGCCAAAGACACAGATGATATAGTCTATTTTTTCTAAGCAGCTCGGAAGCTATAAACTGGAGGCTCGTCCGACGGACACAAATGAAATAGTCACTTAGTTACGTGTAGTATCGTGCGGTGCCGTAGGTATTTTGGCAAGTGTTGTAAATATCTAGGAAAAGAGGAATCGACGTCTAGCCTCCCGGTCGTCCGTTTTGTGTGTGGTTGTAAATATGTGTTCAAATACAGGACTTGCCAGGCTACATCGTCTTGTGTGCCTGGTTAATCTAAAAAAAAAGAAATGTTTTATTGTATGCAACATTTAGTACATGGTGTTGCTGCTCTACATAATTAATGTGGAGATTTTCACAGTTACAGCGTTCTCAGACATTTCGTCGTGCGTCAACAAGACCTCCACTTGCCGCAGATGTGTAGATGTGTAATGTGTATGGACGAAACTGCACATTGTTTCGGGGAGGACGAACGGGCGCCCTCGATGAAGGGGGTCGGGGAAAAATGTTTGAGATGATTGACGGTCTCGTGAATGCGTGGTGGAATGACAGGTAATCATGATGGCAACCTTTGAGGAGGGCATCCGAAAGCTTGTGCTATGTCGTAAGTTCTGAAAATGTGGAGGAGTAGCTACAGGAGTAGCTAGCCTCATACATTGCTGGATCAGAAAACTTGCACGTTTTGTCCAAAGCCAATTGTAGACCCGTGTTGCTCGAATTTCGAAAGCAAAGACGACAAACGAGCAGAAATATAACACAGTTAAAAGCAGCATGGCAGAAATGAGGCAAGGTCGGCAACATTTTGGGGTCTGGTACGTACCGTAAAATACAGCAGAAGCGCCCCCTTCATTCAAGCTGTTAACGTTTTCAAACTTGGGAATTCTGCACATTATATGTTGAGCGCCCGAATTGACCGTGCAAGCAACCATGTCTAGATTACCCCAGTTTTCAGCAAAAGTGGAATGGGTGCTGCCCCGGTATTTTACGTTAACTTTGATTCTTGAAAGCGAATAGCTCCGATTGAACTCCGGCCCAAAACACGAGCGACTCGTAAGCAAAAGCTTGCTCCACAATGGCAGTAGTGAGGGCCTAAGAAGGGCCGAGTGTAAAAGCGACGTGCAACCCACCCAGGACGCTCGTATGCCTTCGGTAGATTGTAGGTACTATAAATGAAGAATGGTAAAATGTCGAGGAACCAACGCTGCCTCAGACTTTTTGAATGCCGAAAAGAGCCAAGTTTGTCCTCCTTTTGAGCTGCCCGTTTGGCAACCAGGTGCCATTGCGACATTGCACTCCGACAATGTGTAGAACTTACTAAACTTGAAGCCTGGGCGAGTTGGTATGACATACTTAAAAGGTTAAAACAGCGCAAAGAACGACGGACAGGGTAAAGAAGGACACGGACAGAGCGCTGACTCGCAACTAAATCTTTACTGGACTCAACGGGGCAATATATACGCACAATTGGGAACAAAAAGAAGAAAATCAGCCTGAAAAACACTCAAAACAAAAGCACAAAAAACGAAGTATCACCTCTAAAAAGACAAAGGCGCGCTACAACCAAGCTAATCAAGTGGCCAGAAAATGAATTTCCTTCCTTGATAAGGCAACGGAAGGGCTGCTGACGCACATGACTCCCAATCTGTCCATTTCTAGGGCCTCCAAAATTTCACGTGTCAGCTGGTCCCGGTGATGTTTAACGACCTCGCACTGTTGAAACTGAGGCTGGCATCTGCAGTCACGGCAATGTATGCCAAGGTGACCGGAAGCTGTCGAAGAGACGTTGTGAGCATGTTCCCTTAGCCTGTCGTTGAGACAGCGACCTGTCTGGCCGACATAACGCCTGCCGCAAGACAGAGGGAGGGAATACACAACTCCCTCAGCGCAGGTGACGTAGCGATTGCGATGCTTCGTAGTGCAGGCCCTCGCCACCCTATCAGAGGGATTAACGGCTCGGCACAATCTAGAAAGCTTGTCAGGGGCGGTGAACAAAACGTCCACATCACATCTGCCCGCAATACGTTTGAGGTTATGGGCCACGCCATGCATATACGGAATGACGGCGAATTTTCTTCTTTCTCGTCCTTTTCTACTGCTGAAAGGGATATCGCTCGTCTCAGGCCAAGTTTTGGTTTCTTTGAGCAGTGACTCAGCAACAGCTGTCAACACGTGTGAGGGGAACCCTGCGACAGTGAGGCGTTCAGTTTGCTTATCGAAGCTAGGTTGAACTTTGTGAAAGCAAGACCTTCGCAAAGCATGTGTGTAGCAGGTCTTTGCGATTGCACGTTTTACAATTTTTGAATGAGCAGACTCAAAGGGCAGAAGAGGCTTGCCGGCCCGAGGTTCATAAGCCCAGCATACATGGTCCTGGCACATTGTTAATGTCAAATCTAAAAATCTTATACATCCGGCTACAGGTACTTCATGAGTTAAAACAAGTGGCGAAAGACAGTTAGAAAAGATGCCTAAAACATGAGTCATCGATGAATGAAAGGACAAGACGTCGGTTTCCAACAGGACTAAAAAATAGTCTACATAGCGGAAAACCCTTGCAACCTTGGTACCCTCAAGGTGTTCTAGAATGATGCGATCAATGCTTGCTAAAAATAAGTCGCTAACAACAGGGGCGATGCAAGATCCAATGCAATGATGTATAAGATTTTTAGATTTAGCATTAACAATGTGCCAGGCGTTATGTCGGCCAGACAGGTCGCTGTCTCAACGACAGGCTAAGGGAACATGCTCACAACGTCTCTTCGACAGCTTCCGGTCACCTTGGCATACATTGCCGTGACTGCAGATGCCAGCCTCAGTTTCAACAATGCGAGGTCGTTAAACATCACCGGGACCAGCTGACACGTGAAATTTTGGAGGCCCTAGAAATGGACAGATTGGGAGTCATGTGCGTCAGCAGCCCTTCCGTTGCCTTATCAAGGAAAGAGATTCATTTTCTGGCCACTTGATTAGCTTGGTTGTAGCGCGCCTTTGTCTTTTTAGAGGTGATACTTCGTTTTTTGTGCTTTTGTTTTGAGTGTTTTTTCAGGCTGATTTTCTTCTTTTTGTTCCCAATTGTGCGTATATATTGCCCCGTTGAGTCCAGTAAAGATTTAGTTGCGAGTCAGCGCTCTGTCCGTGTCCTTCTTTACCCTGTCCGTCGTTTTTTGTGCTGTTTTAACTTGTTAAGTAGAACTTACTTCGGGAAAAGTCACTCACGAGGGTGCTTGCTCGCCTTCGGATGTAGCGAGAATGAGCGAGGGCACCGAGTTAGGGGCATTCACGATTGTGGTGAGTTCATGACTCGTGCAAGCTCACGAGTTTGGCGAGTTCATGCAAGGAATTGAAGGTGAGTGAGTTTTGAGTTTGTTTTTTAGTTGTGAGCTTGACGACGAGGACGTGGCTCACTTTCTACAAAGGCCCACGAGCCAAGAAATGCTTGGGGGAGGGGGGGGGGGAATCGGCTATAATTTAAAAAAAAAAAAATGTTGAGTTTGTCATGGCTGACATGCGGTAGACCAACACGCAACCCTTGTGTCGTGCTGCTGCGGTGGCGCTGCAATGCAGAGTGCAAGTTTGTCTACTTCCTTTGCAAGGTAAGAACACCGAGCTCCGATTGGCTCTAATTGAAAGATGGTGGGTAAACCTCAAGGCAGCTTGCTTTGAGGTCAGCTCGCTATCCTTCAATCGGAGCCAATACGAGTTTGGCGTCGTTCCTACATCAACGCAACCCCTCCAAAAGAAGCAGACGAACTTGCTCTCCGCATTGGCAAGGTGCGTGCACAGACACTGCACAAATCCGGTTCCTGCGCACGCACAGTGCCCACGCCTCGTGTGGGCTTGTTGTAAACGGTGCGTTGGCCTGTACAATGAGCAAGTGCTCCACAATGTGTCTTTAGTGCACCGGAACTCGAGGAGGGGCACGCTAATCGAAAAACGACGTAGAACACGCGCGAGGAACGCGCCACGACGAGGCAGGCAAGCGTGCACCGTCCTTGGTTTGGGTCAGGGAAAAACGAAAGTACACTGGCTCATCTGGAGGGTAAACAAATGCACGAGGTGTGCAAGGAACGGACAAACATTCCTGCCATACTCCATGCATATCAATCCTTTTGGGGAGCATTTGCAACTGAATATGCCCTGTCACTGGCCCAAGATACAAATTTTAAAAGACAAAACAAAAAGGAGCGGGCGTAAACGGCCCCTGCCAAATAGTTAACGAGACGAAATGGCCAACGGTTTCCATAAGCAGACGCACGCCAGCCCCTTGAGAAAACCTGCCTGTGTGGGGTTTTTGCTGCTGGGCAGTACCAAGGCTTGGAAGGGGGGAACTCTGCCCCTTCCCCTCTCTCTCGTAGTTGGCGCTTGCGTGCAGATAGTTCTAAGATGGTCTTCAGCTAGGTGCTGGGATGTAGACTTAAAATAATTTAGACTTATTTGAATACAAGTAATATGACTGCAACATTCATTAACTTTCAAAGTGTTGATCGTAGCGGGTTAGCCCTGCTGAGCGCACTTCCAGCCAACCACCTGTGCACTGCGGAAAAACAACACCCGCGGAGCTCGCTTTCAGGGGTGTTGCTTCTCCACAGTTAACCGGTGCTCGGTAAAAAGTGTTCTCATCGGGACTAACCTGCCATAATAAAAGCAGGAATATTGCAGTCGCGCGCTTAGGAGAAAAGCACTCTTTCAATGCGGGATGGTGGGCGTGTGCACCTGGGCTATTTTAAAAGGACAAGAAACTTTGTAAATGTTGATATCCACATTGCAGTAAAATTTTCAAAATTAAACTGTGCTTATTATGCGAAAGTATAGGTTAGACACAGATGCCCCGACAACCTGCATTCATCATTAGTGGTTGTATTTTTTTTTTTCTAATTCGAGGGTCACCATGTTTTAAAAATCCCCTTGACTAGATGGAGTTCATATCTATAGATTTAATTCTATGTAAAATCTTAGTTGCAGGCATTGGACTTTCTGGGGCTACAGTCCATATAGTTTAAAATTGGCTTACAAACAGACGAGTGAAATCTTGGGAACAACCTTCTCGAGCTCGGCTGGAGAGACCACGGTATTCCGTATTATATTAAAAAATGTTTTGCAAAACCACTATTTGCTTTGAACTCAAAATTTAATATTCACACATGCCTACTTTAGGGACATACTTTTAGCGTCAAGGCACAATGAACATCGCTGTGGTAGGTTTAGTTGCCAATTAACGCATGCCAATTTGTGTGTGCAAGCAGCACTATTAAAATGTTTCATGGTTTTTGTGTAAAAACACTGGAAAAGTGCCAAATGTTCTAGCATTGTGTTGCAACCTCTATGGTACGTAAGTGTCCATTTCAGACGATGCAACATAAATTGAAACAATGAAAGCGATAATTTATTTGAAAATACAACAATGCAAAGGCTGACGTTATGTCCGTTCAATAAAATATTTATGCAAAATGTGCATATTTTACACATTACATAAAATATAATCAAGGTGTCTTTGGACCATCTGAGCACTGGGGTTTATTCAACCCATTTCCAACAGACCACAAACCTCGATCGCACGAGACATGGCTCGATTAATTCGCAGAGAAGGTGGTTGCAAGTGCAAACTTCCCGTTCGAAAATATCCAAGGGTGAACTAGCTTATAAACCGACACGCTGTTTCCAAACAAGCCCGCATTCGCCCACACCAGGTGTGAGCACTGCAGGAGCGCAGAAACCAGATTTGTGTAATGAAGCTTCTGCACATGCGCCGTGGCGACAACAGCGCCACCACAGAAGCGTGACGTCGAAGCCGCATGTTGGTCTATACAGGACAGCACAAAAACAAATGTTTTATGAGGCAACATCAGTGAAACCAACAAAAAGAAACATTCGTTTCAGCCGAGTTTCGCATTTGATTGAACACGACTAGAAAAGGAAGGCAATTATTCCGGCATTGGTCCCTTTTTTATCGCTTTGCTAAATCAGACGTCCCAGTCGAGGCCAGCTGTAGGAGTGGGCTGCCCGGGCGGTCACCCAGGGCGACATCAAGACGGTGTCACCGTGCCCTTATGAAATTTTTTTAGCTTTTTGATTTATTTCAACACGGCACCCACACAAAGGGGGGCATTCTCATTTTAACGGGAAATGGGCTGAACTTGCGAAGAAAATTGCAAATTTTGTCCGTAATTTTCGATTGAGGTAATATCTTCCTTGGATATTTTTACAAAAGAACACAGTGCTTGTACCTGGGTGCGAATTGCAGCATCGTAGTTTGCGAAAGTATTTTTTTTTTTTTTTAAGTTAGTCTATTCCTTGGAGCTGGAGTTACTAGCCAGGTACATAAGATTACATTTGTTTAAGAGGCTGCTTTGCTGAAGATCTTTTGGGTCGCCAAAATGCTGCGCTTACTTCACGGTGAAAAAAAAAAGGCTTTAAACTAGTAACGAATGAGGCCATCAGACTACCATAATAGCAGGCTTTCCGAGAAGGAAACGACAAACAATGACAATGTTTTTCTTGGAGAAGCCAAACCAAGGTTTTGGTGTGCCTTTTTGTACCTTACCGACACACTTCTTGGACATGCAATAGTAATTTGCTGCAGTCCATACATTCATCTCTCCCTCTTGCCACCCCACCGTTTTCCCAGCACTTTCATAGTCAAAAATGGAAGCTTTTTTCAAATTTTCCCAATGCACCTCTCGATTTGTGAGCTCTTGCATTCCTTCGATCCAATATCTTAGTTTGTGAGCCTAGATATACTCTAGGTTTACGTACGCGAATATGAGGAACTAGAAGGACAGCTCGCAGAAACGCCGTCTTAGATTCGAAAATCTTTCCAAAGACTCATGACCTCGGAACCTTTGGTCTTGGCATCGATGTAGGCTTGCATCGTCTCAATGTTTTCCGGCGAAAAGTGTGTCTTCCAGTCTCCCACCGTACCCCGCCGGACGAGATTTAGAACGGCCTTTGTCTCGGAGTCGTCTGCGGAGCCCGTGTCCTTGCCGAGCTGTACAAGGACCTGCTTTTGGTCCGGCCTGAGGAACTCCTTCATAAAGGACACGGTGCTCTTCTCCATGACTCGGCGAAAGACGTCGTCGTTCTCCCTGAGGCACCTGCCGTAATCCTCGCCGAGAAAGTCCGCCAGTCTGAGCACGACGTCTGCCTTGCGTTCCTGCAGCTCTTCGTACGTCACAAAGAAGACGTTGGGCTCGTCCCTGAGCTCGTAGGCGGCCATCAGGTTGTCAAAGTAATCACCGGCCCCCATCTCCGCCCGAATAAAGGCTTCCAGAAACTCGTCGAAGGTGCCGTCGCCGAACTTGCAGGAGGGTGTTTCCCGGATCAGGTGGTAGCATGACACGCAGCAGTCCCACGGGTTACGGGCGACGTAGACATACTTGGCCTTCCTGCTGAACTTGATCTTGCCGAAGGGTAAATGGGTTCGGATTAGTCGGGGGGCCTTGGTGGGCTTCAGCTCGTTCATCTCGAGGAACGGCGCGCGGTTGGCGAACTCGTCGAACGTCTTTGCGGACTCGCCCCGTTCGAGGACGAGCTGGATGATCTGCTGGATCCAGTGGGAACCGCACCTGGGGTAGGTCAGCTCGATGATGTCGCCGTCCTGCGGCTCAAAGTTGGGGGCTTTCCGGTACAGGGTTGGGTCAAAGTAGATGTAGCAGATGTCGCCGTCAATCATCTGGGTGGCCGGAACGCGCCTGGGGGCAGCCATCTTGGTCCTGCGAGGCGTCTGCACAGGCAGAGAAGAGGGCAGATCGCGGTTGTTACGATTGTCAAGTTGGAGCATTCCCACACTTTGGACATACTAGTAGTCTCTGTGGTGAGTTAAGGAAACAAACCTAAAAAGGTTCGAATTTTTGTTTCGCTGCATTCTCACGAGTTTTACCAAGCATTGCGTTTCTGCGAGTACTTTCCATGCATTTTCGGAGCACCGAGAATAGACACTGTCATCGTATGATGGTCGCATTCTTTCTTTCTTGGTAAAGTTTTCAGTTGAAATCGTAGCCTGTGGCTCTGCAGGCAAATTGAGGAGTTTTTGAAATACTCCTACCTCGCAATGAAAGAAAGAGTTTCAGTGCAATGAAATGGTACGTACCACCTACCACATGATGCCAAATATTCGGGCTTTTGGCTTATTGGGCCTTGTATTTGAAAAACAAGGCTTGATGGTACTTCCTTCACAATTCACCGCAACATCATTTGCATCTGTGTAGCTACTTCGGGTGTGGGGAAGGAATCTAAGCATACAAAATTATTCGGGAAGACTCCCACCATCCCCGGTCACCCGATGGACGAACGACCAGCACGCATGCGTCTTTCCCCGCAACTTGACGAAGCTGGGCTACATCAACAGTGCGATGCTCAACGCGGATACGGCCAACGCAAAACTCGACCGTCTTGCACGAGCGAAGTGCAGCGTACATACATTGCATACATGGCACCGACCCAGTTCTTCAGATCTATGGGCAACTTCATTGGATCGTACTGCAATTCTGTGGCAGGGCAAGCTATTTGTGTACCGCTAACAGTTTGTCCAGGAGCTTTGGGCATGCACCGAAACGGGGGCCATATGCTACATGGCGGTACTGGGACAACACCGTCTGCTGCGATTGGGCGCGGCGCCAACCGATCGCAGCAGACAGTGTTGTCCAAGTCCCTCGGTTCCGCCGCATAGCATGGGGCCCACAGCCATAAAATTCGCCGAAAAGTGGTTCCGAAAGAGGACAATTTTTGCTGCATCCATTAATCCTGTCTGGACGGGACAACCATAGGGCCAGAGGTCTGGTTACTATTAAACATCTTCAGCACCAACATACTGCCGAATGTGTTCCGGGAACCCAAAGCCATGGTCGCACTACGTCCTAAAAAAAACGGTCTGCAGACGCTGAGGCATGTTTCTTTTTTTCTGTACGACGGTTCCGTCACATTGGTTGTACGAAAACCGTCTCTAAACACGTTTGAAGCACACGTGTGTTTAAAGCGCACATGCTTCGAGCGTCTTCGAGGCATGCCCACAAAAAATTCTATCGCCATGCTTGCAACGAACGCCGTGTCTTTTGGATGACGCACGAGCAGTGTCAATGCTGCTGAATCTTGCTGAATGCTCTTTTATGCAGGTGCCCAGAAAGGGCGCCGGAGGAACTGGTGAGATGACCCTGAAATGCCCCACTTGCACACGAGACTGAACGTTCTCACTAGCGAGTGACAGTTGAATACAGCATGCAAGTGCCTTTGCATGACGGGAGCGGGTTTGCATTCTAAAAGTGTTCAAGTGTCACGACAACCGACCATTGCCTGTCTGTACGAGTTATGCACAATGCTTACGTGCTGTTCTGTGCAGTGCCTATGTGGGTGGATACGTACGTTTGTTTCGTTATCAACTATGACAACTCGCATTATGAACAATTTGGGGGGAGGGGGAGGGTGGCATGTGTTTGGGCTCCTAGCGGTCAAGGATATTAAACAAACAGCACGAAGCAAAGACAAATGCACGAGAAAAGGACTATCGTCTTTTTTGTGCGCTTATCTGTCCCTAGCGCTATTTATGCTGAAATTTTTTTTTTTTTTTCTTTTTAGAGATCAATTTTAAAGCAGCTACTTGAGTTTGTACAATAATGGGCCCATTTCCGGAACTAGTGATGCATTGCGAGACACTGCGAGAAAGTATGACAAAAATTGAATGTTTTAATTCTTCATATCCATTCTGTGGCAGCAAGGAAATGGAACGCCCTCTGAGGAAAGCGTACATGCATGCAAAACACAAGGCGCAGGATCGTCATGTTGATCTTGTGCTTGGCTAACGCGGAGAGCAAGTCGTCTGCTTCTTGCGCAGAAGCTGCGATGACGTCAGAATGACGCTGGGCCCCGACTGGCTTTAATTGAAAGGATAGTGCGTAGACCTCAATGCTAGATGCCATGAGTCTACCCACTATTTTTTTTGTTTTTCAATCAGCCAATAAGAGCTTGGCGTTCTGACATCATTGCAACCTCTGTGCAAGACTTGTAACATGGTGGAAAGTTCGGCGAGTTAATGGTACATGTTTAACGAAACAGCGCTATGTTTGCATACTTAACCTTCTTGTCCTCCGTTTTTTTTTTTTTTTTTTTTGTTGTTGTTTTTCTTGCGTTAGTTTTTTGTAGAACGCGTGCAACCACACGAACTTATGCCCCGAATCCAGCCCCAAATACTACCCTTGAACAAAGTCCCTTTTGGGAGGAGTTTGCCAACTTAATCTCCCCCTTTCAGAGGGAGAAACGCCGGCTTAACCCATTCATTAAATAGAAATGCCAGTGAATGCTAGATCTGCGACGCATAACCCATTCCACAGAGCCTTCGCACAGAAAGTCACCAGGCTTACCCTTGGCTGACAGCTCTCACGTTTCCTTATCTCGTGGACATAAATTGCAGTCTTGATTTCCGGTATACAAGAATCACCAGGAAGTCACCATCTTACGTGCCGAACAATATCCTACGCGGCGAAAGTGAAGTGCCGTCGACGGGATGACGTAGCCCGAGCCGGTACACAGAAGCGGCGACGGCGGCGATTCGCAAACAGGTATCCGTGAAGGCCACAGCGGCTAAAACCTCCTCGCACATCACGGATATGGTAGACTGATAGAGTGACTGAATAGGGTTCTCTGATAAAAGGACAAGTGAAGGGGACCGCATAGTGGAAACCTGGGAACTGCAGATTTTGTGTAATGAGACTTCTTGTTCTCGGTATTATTGGCTTTGTCTTGGCTGCTCGACGGTCCTTCGATTGGCTCACGGTCTGATTTTTCTCGGTTGCTCCAGGCGAGATTTTTGTATTCGATTGTGCAAACGAATTCCTCGGGGATTCCAGTTCAGTCATGTAATGTTTGTTCAAGTCATAGTTGTGGTAGTTTATTATTATTATTTTTTTTTTATGCATGGCCTTAGGGCTTTCTTCGGCCGCCATAACAGAGAGCCGGAAACAGCTCCGGTTCGGGTTTCGTTTGCATGCTTTTAAAGGGCAACATCACCGCTATGTTTCGTGTGTTCCGCAATTAAATCGGTCATTTGTTGTGTTTTGCGAGTCACCTCTCATCTCGAAGTGCTGTAATGCTTTGCAATTGATTGGGAAACTTTGTTGTGGCAGATCTCCGCAAAATAAAGAATGCCGTGACGGTTGAGCGTGGACAGCCTTTCACGCGCGCTTCGATTTCACGCTCAGCGCTAAGTACGCATGATCGCTTAATTTTGAAAACAATGATGCAGACCTCCGACTCTTCCGGAGAGCTATGAAACTTGATCGAACGAATCACACCTGAGTTGTTAGGCAAATAAAGGTTGATTGAAAGATGTATTAACATTCGCCACTTCAGGACATTCGGCGGCGTCAAAAAACCTAACCCAGGTTTTCATAACAAAGGTAAACTTTGTACTGCATAACAGGGTTGCCAGGTAGTTTTTCGCTAAAACCGCCAAAAGCCAGACGGTGTAGCCCAAAAGTAGCCAAATGCAAGAGATTTATGTAGCCCAAAAGTAGCAGAGCCCAAAAGCTTGTGCGCTTGAATATGCGAGCTCAATTCGAAGGCACTGCGTCTACAAATCTAGAGTTTAGGAGCAGCTTGGAAGATTTACGACATCTTGAAATGTATTGAACGTTTTATTTCAAACACAAAAGTACAAACATTTTCCACACACGTTTTTGCAGTCGCATAGTTATGAAGCACACGCACGTGCCCTGCTTACCCGCCTCATACATGGTTTCCGGGTTAAAACGGGCAAAAACGTCTTCAGTACGGTTGATGTCCTTACTGAGCTCGTTCTTCCAAAGGAAAACAAACTTTACATAGAGGACGTTTTGAAGGGTTGAAAGGGACATGTTCTATCTTAGGCCTGACTTTGTGAGGTAGACGTGACTGAATACTCTCTCCACGGCGGCATTCGACGTGGGCAGTTTCAGGAGCGCGATGGCAAGCTCGGATAGCAACGGAAACAGGGCTGCTCCTGCGCATTGATCTTGGCTTTGTTCGGAATATTCATTGTCCCAAATTTGTTGTCTTTTGCTATGGCTCATTGTGCTTTAAACTTCCATGTTTCGCGAAAAAGCCTCCTTCGTTATATCCGGTACAGCACGCGTTATCGGGCGACATCAAATTCTGCAGGATGTCTTGACTGCCTTTAGTATCATCTTTCCTCAAATGATGTGCTCCTGTAGGATAATGGTGGGAAACTCGAGGAAATAAGAGACGCCAGTAGGGAGCAGAAAGAACCTGGGAGTATAAAATAAGCCACAATTACTACAGAAGCGATGTTGTCGGAGCTGAATCGAGGTCACGGTAGCTCACTTGAGCTAATAGGTTCTGGCATCACGCCCACGAATCTTCACGCAGAAAATTCCTGAAAGCGGGAATCCAGAAAGGCGGACTGTCGCTTTGTGTCCATGCTGAAGTGTCTTTTGTACAAAAACTCTAAACCAAGCAAAAAAAAAAAAAAAAGTGCCGCGTTAGGATTTGAAATAGCCCAAAAATAGCCACATAGCCAACCGCCAAATTTCGACGCCAAATGCATGACAAAGTAGCCCAATTTGGCTATTAATAGCCCAACCTGGCAACCCTGCTGCATAAATCATTTCATAACAAAAAAATAAAAAAAGTTATCTTTCTTTTTTTTTTTTTTTTTTTTAGACCGCTGAGTTTTTGAGCAGGATTACTTGCTAGCGTTCATTTTCGGTGCATGGGATCTTGTGAACGGACGGTTTACCTGAGAGTCCTGAACACACTTCACTAAAAACTCGCAGACGAACTAAAAAAAGGAAGAAACGTAAATATTCAGATTCTGTGTCAGCGGAGGACTTCAGAATGGAAGGGATCGTTTCATATGGAAACAAACGGGACAGTTTCCACATCAATTTCGAAGTTCGAAACGAAAATATAGATTTTCATTTTCAGAATGCATATGTTCGTAACACGATTAAAGCAAGACGTGAAGTATAGCAAAAAAACCACTGGTACCAGCCTTCCTTTCGATTTTATTGCTCGCTCACCTCGTCAAACATAACACCGCTTTTGTAATGTGTTATGCTAATTTGTAGTTTTGAAACAACTCCCATCCAATGGCGTAGTAACAGAGGTGGCCGGGGGACCCCAGGTGCCAGTCATGGGGGAAGTGGGGAGGGGAGGGGGAAGCACCTCTGGCAACACCCGGCCTCCCGCCCCCCGCTTTGCTGGTTTTATTTATTTATTTTGTTTGTACTGTCAGCCCCTGCAGAGCTTTTACAAAAGTAGTAATGTGCTATACAAAAATTATGCACACGATAACAAATAAATAAACATCAATACATACAAACAAAATAACTTCATGGCATATTCTCAAGCGCTATGCTATTCATGTTTTTCACAACATCACAATCTTCTGTTAAAATTACGGTTTCATTAGGAAGTTTATTCCATTCTCTAATGGCCCTTGGAAACAAACTATACTTAAAACAATCATTTTCAACGGCTGGTTCCCTAATATACATGCTATGACGGTCAGTAGCGAATCCAAGGGGGCGACGGGGGCGGCCGCCTCCCCCCCCCCCCCCAAACAAAGTCGACCCCCGTTCCTCCCTCCTTCTCGGAGGGCAATTTGACATGGGTGGACACCCCTTGCACAAGAAAGAAAGGGAGAATAGTATCCTTAAAAATTTTCCGCCCCCACCAAAAAAAGAAAAAAAGAAACGGAGTTCTGGATCCGCCCCTCGATGACGGTGTCGCGTACATTCACCAAAGCGCACATTCCTGTAATTATCCTTGTCGATTTTAACTAAACCGTGAAAGATTAGAAAAATTAATTGTTGGTGATCACACTTCGTTCTTAACTCAACGCGGAGCGCAAGTTCGTCTACTTCTTTTGCAGGGGTCCTGGTGACGTCAGCAGTGGCGTAACTAGATATGACGGGGGAGCTGCGTTCACCTGATTTAAACAACGAGATAATTTTACCGACCTTCCAGTCACTAGGAACTAAATGAGAAAGCAAAGATCGCGAAAAAATTGCGGACAATACGACACTGGAAATTGTTTTAGTATTCATTAAAACTTTCGAATTAGTTTCGTCTTCACCACTCAAAGAAGAAACCTTCAAGTTATCAATTAGTTTTACAACACCAGATGAATTAATCGTTATACTTTCCATTTGATCATGTTAAAAAAACGCATCCAAAATAGGCAGGGCTGCATTTTCACATGAAAATACTACAGAAAAAGCAGTATTCAAAACACGAGCAATTTTGAGGTCAGATAGTGAATTTCCTGATATATCGATAAGATTTAATGCATCAGCCGATTTAGGATTTATTACTGTCCAAATTTTTTGGGGGGTTTGTACGCAGCATATTGGGGAGAGTGATTTGGTAGTAAGAATTTCTAGTCAGAGCAACTTTTTGCTTATATTCTGTTTCGCACCCATGGTATGCACGCCAGTCGGAGGGACTGTCACGGCACCTGGCACGCCGGAATAGACGTTTTTTCTTATTCCCTAGTCGCCTCAGGCTTGCATCATACCATGGAGAAATATTTGAGGTCTTAATGAAAGTAACAGGAAAATGCTTATCAATAAGATATTTCACTTTATTTTTATATAGCTCCGAGTTTTGCTCAACTGTGCGGCTTTCAAAGTTATGCAAGAAAACCTGTTCATAAAAAAGTGCTAATTCGCTGTTTATTGCATCGTAGTTAGCCCGGCCATAACTTCTAATGGGTTTACGAATGGTTTCCCTTCTTGTTACTGGCAGAATGATTTGCGCAAACTGAGAAAAACAGTTTGCGATAACAAATAGATGACATGTCATTCATCCGCATCGATGGCGTTTACTAGTGGGACTGCAGATTCAAGGGCACTGTCCCAGACATATGCTGCGTCATTCACAAAAAGCTTGTCAAAACGCAAGCGTACTTTGTCCCCAGCCTTCATGCAAGTGTTATAAAATTTAAACAGATTTCTACGCTTGACTCTAACTGCTTCTGAGTAGTCGTTGCTAACACTAAATTCAGAGCCTTTTAGTTTAAATCCGTTTGAAAGAGCCCTTCCCATTTATTTTTTATTCAAGAATTTGGTTATTATTGGCCTGTGCTTATCACTTGATAAACGACCTAGTCGATGTGCTCTGGAGATGCTTTCCACTTTTACACCAAGCTTCGATTCAAACAGTTCCATAATCAACTTCTCGGAATCCAGCCAGCTTTCACGTTCACTTCTTTCTTTTATTCCAATTTCCGATTATTCCGATTTTCTACTTCATCAACCTTCGATTGAAGATGAGACACAAGAATGTCCCGGCGCACCTCGCTCTCAAGCTGGACAGAGTTCAAACTTGTGGTAGGCGCTTGGTTATGCTCTAACAGTGATACTCGCTCTTCCAAAGATTTGATCGTTGCTTCAGTCTGTTTCTGATTCGCTTCTAGTTAGGCTGCGGTCCCACGGCGGCCATGACATATGACGCTTTCAGCACGTTTTCGAAATGCGATCGTGGCGTGTTCAAGCTTGCTAAAATTATGTGTTATATATCATCTTGTAGTGTACAACATTATCTTTTATCTGATGTAGGATTTGTTTTCCTAGTGCAAAAAGCTAATTCAGAGGGCACCCGCGAACATTGACCTTTTCGGCAAAACATGGTTTCGTAGTACAGTGGTACAGGGTGCACTATTGGAGCAATTTCTTTCTAATTTTAGAATGTTATAGAAGAAGAGTGCGTTCATTGTCAACGGAGGCCCTTTTTTCGTTTTTTA